GGGGAACCCCCCCCCCCCCCCCCACAGCTATATGGGACACTTTTTTATGATGGATGGATGCACTTTATTTTGCTTCAAAATCTCGACTACCATTCACTGCTATTTTAAAACTTGGAAGAGTCAGGATCTTTTAATATAACTCCGATTGTATTCGTCTGAAAGAAGAAAGTCATTTACATCTAGGATGGCTTGAGGGTGAGTAAATCATGGGGTCATTTTCATTTTTGGGTGATCTATCCCTTTAAGATTTCTAAAATATACAAAGCAGCACAACAGTTTTTTACATTGATAATAATTAGAAATGTTTCTTAAGCAGCAAATCAGCATATTAGAATGATTTCTGAAGGATCATGTGACACTGAAGACTGGAGTAATGATGCTGAAAATACAGCTTTGACTCACAGGAAAAAAATATACATTTGAAAATATATTCAAATAGAAAACAGTTCTTTTAAATCAACATTACTCTTTTTACTGTTTTTTTTTCATCAAATAAATGCTGCCTTGGTGAGCATAAGAGACTTCTTTTAAAAAATATTTAAAAATCTTACCCACCCCAAACTTTTGAGCAGTAGTGTATATGCAATTACATAGGCTGATTTCAGTAATAAAAGTCTACACTGCAAAAATTATATCCTTAATCAATACCCTTTGTGTGTGTGTGTGTGTGTGTGTGTGTGTGTGTGTGTGGGAGTGTGTATGTATTTAAAAAGCAACATATTTCAGAGTAAAACTGAAAAAAATTACCCCAAATATCACCATGATGCATCCTTAAAAATATATATATATATAATAATTTAAATCATATTTTCTATCTGCATTTACAAGTAACTAAATTTTTTAGGGGAAATATACTTAATATGTAATATTATTCATATTTCTTCATACACATTTATTTACGTAGCTGCTTTGATCCCTCCGATATGACGACACGCTGAGCTTCCAGAAAAGCTACTGATCCCCATGTTGTCATTTATGATCATCTGAGTCTATTCATGTCCATATATAGCTCAGATGATGCTGGTATAATGACTGGAGCTCTGCAGGGCCTTAATCTGCCTGTTTCACATTCCCAGAAGAACACCACACTAATGACAGGCCTCTCTGATACCGTCACCCCTTCTTCCACAACTATAAGGCCCTTTGTGTGATTTAGGACAGCCTGTGGTAGGACAGCCAATACAATCATGTGCAATTCATAGCTTTGATGCCACGTGGTTGTAGTCGCTTTAAAATGAATCTACGGTGAGAAGTGTTTGCCTTTTTTTCAGTATAGTATATAAGAACATTATACTACACCAAAAAAATTGACATAGAAACAAGTTTCTACACCAATTTTCGCTTAGAAATTGCTTGTAAATTTCACAATTACAAAGAAACGGCTATAGTAACACATTGAATTAAACATGACATTTTGAAGCAGAAAATCTAAAATAGTATTTTCTTGTAAAACACACTCAAATAATCTTTGTTTTATTCACAACTTTTGAAAAATCATTTTTATGGTGTAGAAAACTACCTTTTAAAAACTCCCCTAAGCATTTTGCATAATCATTTATCAATCTGTTTAAAAACATGATAAAACAGTTTAAATAAAAATTCCACAGACCAAGAAGTTTTTAATCTCATTAATGTTTAACTTAATTTCAGACTAGGGTTATTATCTTTAATTAAAACTAAATCCATAAAAATATATATTTTGTTGTTATTACTTGAAAAAAAATTAAAAAAATTAAAAATAATACTGAAATAAAAAATATATCTACATTTTTTTTTAAAAACTAACAAAATAAAAAAAAAAGTCCAATTAAAATGAAAATAGAAAAGAAAAAGAAAAACGAATTCAAAATATTAATAGAAACTACAATACTATCCCAATGATACTAAAATAACACGTTTCAGATCAAATATAAAAACCTTTATAATGTCACGCTTCATTCTAGCCACTGTAAGAAAATTATTCTAGCATTTCTTCCACTTTAAGAGCACATTTTACTGAAAATCCTGATTGGTTCCTATGTAAAGCTCATCTCCTCACCTCTCTCTCTCCTTCTCCAGCAGGTTGGTGAAATCATCGCTTTTGTTCATGAAGTCGGCGTGTTTGCGCTTTTCACTGTCCAGGTCGGTGACGGTGCGTCGGTGGCATTTCTCTGCTAAGAGCAGCTGCTCTAACATCCGTCTGTACGTCTCCTGGTGCTTCTCCTCCAAACGGTCCAGCTTTAGAGACAGAATGATTATCGCCATCATAAACTGCTTACACTGGCACAACAATATGTTCAAATCTGCATTCTAAATTCAGGTTTAGAGATGAATATGGCACCTCTATCATAGGGATCTCATAGACATCGTCTCTAATCAGGTCTCCGCTGGTCATCAGACTGTCTCTCTGCAGAGCTTGAAGAGGTTTGACCGGAACCGCAGATCCGTAATGAGCTTCCAGAACCTCGGGCCGTGTTCTCTCAGACTGCAGCATGTGGATAATGTCTTCACGGGCCTAAAGGATACGATCACTGCTTTACTGTGGTACTATAGTACTTTGATATACAGCATACCATGGCACTGAATGTTTATCATATTCAAATACCACAGTATTTCCATGATACTCCAAACAAAGAATACTTTGGTACTAACATAGCACATGTTTAAAAAAAATCATGGCATGCCATAGTATCCTATGTTTTAAGTAATGCTAGTAAATTTCACAAACAGTTACAAAGAAAATTATAACACACTGAATTAAAGTTATAAATATTTTCTTGTAAAACATACTCCAATAATCTTGTCATTCAGTCATAATGTTTTACTGACAACTTTAAAAAAAAAATATATATATATATATATATCTTTTTCACAGTGCAGAAAACTATCTTTTACAAACTTCCCTAAGCATTTGTCGTTTGCTAAATCAATTGTCAATCTGTTTAAAAAGCATGATTAAAAAAAATAAATGTATACAAATGAAAATGGAATATTTTAAAGGAATTGTTTCATGGTGCAAACTGTTTCATTCTCGTTGTGCACCAGCAGGGAGAGCTGTATGCTTCCATAAAGCCATATGGCATTGTCTGTGTAAAGAACAGCATACTATCACACTTCTTTTACAATTTCTTCACTATATGTACAGTATGTATACTGTGTGCAGTATGCACAGATTATCCAAATTATTTACACTACCGTTCAAAAGTTTGGAAATGTTTTAATGTTTTTAAAATAAGTCTCTTTTGCTCACAAAGGCTGCATTTTTTTCATCAAAAATACAGTAAAAACAGTAATATTGTGAAATATTATTACAATTTCAAATAACTCTTTTCTATTTGAATAACATTTAAAATGTAATTGATTCCTGTGATCAAAGCTGAATTTTCAGCATCATTACTCCAGTCTTCAGTGTCACATGATCCTTCAGAAATCATTCTGATATGCTGATTTGTGCTCAAGAAACATTTCTGATTATTATCAATGTTGAAAACAGTTTTTTTCTTCTTCTTTTGATATTTTTAATAAATATAAAGTTCACAAGAACAACATTTATGTGAAACAGAAATGTTTTAAATGTCACGTTTGATCAATCTTATGCATTCCTGATAAATAGAAGTATATAACAAATCTTGATGACCCCAAACTTATGACAGTAGTGTTTTTCAATTTCCAAAATGTGCAGTACACAAGCATGGCACTCAGTACAATACAATAGGTTCCACCAAAATACCATACACTCTTAAAAATAAAGGTGCTTCAAAAGGTTCTTCAAGCGATGCCATAGAAGAACCATTTTTGGTTCCACAAAGAAGCATTCAGTCAAAGGTCCTTTAAAGAACCATCTCTTTCTTACCTTTTTATAATCTGAAGAACCTTCTTTCGCCACAAAGAAGCTTTTGTGAAACAGAAAAGTTCTTCAGATGTTAAAGGTTCTTTCTGGAACCATTTAGACAAAAAGGTTCTTCTATGGCATCGTGAAGCACCTTTATTTTTAAGAGTGTAGCTTACTCACTGTTTGTGCTGTAAAATCATAATATATTATTATGCAATCACTGTATAAAAATCTATAAAGCTTCATAATTCTTCTGTCATCTTATTTAATTCCTGTTTGAATGACAGTGATGTTTTTCGAAGATTATTAGAATATGTTTTACAAGAAAATACTACTTCAAAATTTCACGTTTAATCCAATGTGTTACTTTGTGTCCATTTCTACGTTACACTACACATCAGTTTCTTTCAGTCTAACTTAGCAAGGAAAACAATGAATGGCATCATGCAGTAAAACCTCACCTGAACTTCTCCCTCCATGACTCCCATCAGATGGACGAGATCTTCTTTGGAGAGGTCCATTAGTCTGGCTCTCCTCTGCTGCATCTCACGAGGCATCTGAGGCTTTTTCAAAGTCCCAGAAACAGCCTTCTCCTCACTGCTCTCTTTTTCCTCCCGAGCTTTGGATTTCATCCTCATCAGCTCCTGTTTGCTTCCCTCTTTCTCGGTGTCGAGGATTTTAGTGAGCGGCTTCAGTGGTCTGTTCTCTGGCCCCTCCATATCGCTGGTCCTGGACCTCATCTTCACCTGCGGGTGCAAACAAAGATGAGCATCATCCACAGATACACCTGCGACAATCTCCTGAAAACATCACACTGTTAGAACAATGAAACATCTAATAACTTTCAGCACACTGCAAATAATGTTCTTTCTCTGTATTTTTGTCTTGTTTTCCAGAACATTCCTAAAACAAGATACATTTACTTAAAGGGTTAGTTCACCCAAAAATTTTAATTAGGCTGCGTTTTACACCCCCCCCGAGGCATCCTAGGTGTATATGACTTTCTTCTTTCAGACGAATCCAGTCGGAGTTATATTAAAAATTGTCTTTGATCTTTCAAGCTCTATCATTGCAGTCCTTCAGTCCAAAAGAAGTTAAATAAAAAGCGCCCATCCATAAAAAAACTGTCTCACACGGCTCCGGGGGGTGAACAAAGGCCTCCTGTAGCGAATCGATGCATTTTTGTAAGAAAAATATCCATATTTAAAACATAATAATCACTTTAATCTAGCTTGCGCTCACTGTTGTAAACGGAAGCAGTTCCGGGGGAATGACATATGAAGGTCGGCTTTGTGTATGCGCCGCTCAGAAGTGACGCACGCGGAAGCACAAGGGAGAAATCAAAACAAAACAACGGTCACTAATTAGAAGAACAAAAGAAGGATTTGTAAAGAAGAATGTCAGAGGATTTCGATATAAGTCAACAGGAGACTGGTTTTCCTTTGCTAAAGTAAGGAAACTTTGCTTCCTTTGCTCCTGTTAACAAACGTTGGTTTTCACGAGACTCACCGGCGCATGCGCAATGCTGATCTCATACGTCATGCTCCCGGAACTGCTTCTGTGTACAACTGCTGGTGCAAGCTACATTAAAGTGATTATTCCCGATTCGCTTGAGGCCTTTGTTCCCCCCCCCCCCCCGGAGCCCTGTGAGACACTTTTTTTATGCATGAGCGCTTTTTATTTAACTTCTTTTGGACTGAAGCAATGCAACACCCGCTGACTGCAATGATAGAGCTTTAAAGATCAAAGATAATTTTTTACATAACTTCGACTGGATTCGTCTGAAAGAAGAAAGTCATAAACACCTAGGATGCCTCAGGGGTGAGTAAAACCTAGCCTAATTTTCATTTTTGGGTGAACTAACACTTTAAGGAGCAAAATGTGTTAATTAAGTCTAGTTTTCTGAAAAAAGTATCAAAATGAAGTGAGTTTTTGCTTAAAACAAGAAAACATCTGCCAATAGGGCAAGGAAAAAAACTTTTCTTTTTTTCTGACCCCACTGGCAGATATTTGTCTCGTTTTAAGCTTAACCTGACATGAATTTTGATCCTTTATTTTCTCAGAAAGCAAGAATTAATATCTCAAAGAAACAGTTCACTCGTAGTTTCAGTTGCTGAAAATCTACTCACTCTCTGGACATCCAAGATGTAGATGAGTTTGTTTCTTCGTCAGATATGGAGAAATTTAGCATTACATCACTTGCTCACCAATAGATCCTCTGCAGTGAATGGGTGCCGTCAGAATGAGAGTCCAAACAGCTGATAAAAACATCACAATAATCCACAAATAATCCACACCACTCCAGTCCATCAGTTAACATCTTGTGAACCAACAAACTGCTTGTTTGTAAGAAACAAATCCATCATGAAGATGTTTTTTTAACTTTAAACCGTTCCTTCTGGCCAAAATATAAATCTATAATAATCCATAATAACGCTTCCTCCAGTGAAAAAGTCCATCTACTGTTGTCTCTCACATCAAAATGCACCCACATATTTATTTAAAGCGGTTTTGGACTGTTTTGGCTTGTAAACGGTGCTTGATCTGTACAGATTTCTCTCCTGATTCAGACCAGACGACTTTTTCACTGGAGGAAGTGTTGTTATGGATTATGGACTCGTATTTTAGCTGGAAGCAACAGTTTGAAGTTAAGAACGTCTCAATGATGGATTTGTTTCTTCCAAACACGCAGCTTTTCACTACACAAGACATTAACTGATGGACTGGAGTGCTGTGGATTACTTGTGGATTATTGTGATGTTTTTATCAGCTGTTTGGACTCTCATTCTGACGGCACCCATTCACTGCAGAGGATCCATTGGAGAGCAAGTGATGTAATGCTAAATAGCAAACACCTTTTTACAGAGTATGTTTCAAAAGAAGTAAAAAGAAACCACTAGTGGACCTTTTTCTACAAGTCTCTTATCAAATGTCTGCAGTCTTAAGCTCTCAGCCAACTCTTGATATTTTAATATGTAGTTTGCCCTTGTAGCTAATCTGCAACAGCCTTGTTTCTCATGTTCCCATGTGCAGATTTAAGAGGGGGATTTCCCTGAGAGAGGGAGAGAGAGAGAGAGAGAGAGAGAGGGATGTAATGAGCGCTGAGCTCAACTATGACATCAGGATTTTTGATAAACTGCGTACGCGCTGCCTCCCGTATGATCTCACACCCAACCTATCTGGCCTGGCTCACGCTCAGATCCAGCACTGCCCTCAGAATATCTCGGAGAGATCTCCGCTCCAATCCCACACATCGCTCACCATCCACGTTCCCATCAGAACTGCGTCTGGATGAAAAGGCTGTGAAACTGCAGAGGATCAGAGCACTTAATGAAACGTCTTATTAAAACAAGATGTTCCGTTCACTATGCTGAATTAGATCATAAAGGCCCCACATTTGAGCATTTGAGCAACAGTATGAGAACTAGTCTAATCGGAATGAAGCTTTTTCAAACTACATTAATTCATGTAGCTCTTTTTATCCAAAGATACTTATTCAAACTTATGATTCTGGTGCTAAACAGCACTATTAAATATAAAATATTTGTATTATAAATAAACATTTTGTAGATATATTTTGTGTGTGTGTGTATATATTATATATATATATACAGTATATATATATATATATAATTAATATATAGTATTTTTATACATATTTATATACGTACACATATATATATATATATATATATATATATATACACATAATACATATAATTACATTTTATATACATATTTATGATACAATTTAATTAATATATTATATTTTCTATTTAATATGTTTTCTGTAGGATATCTGATACTGTCAAAAGATATACATGTGAAATGCTATATTTTACAAATAAACAATGTTTAATAATACTAAATGTTTAATACTGTTAACAGCTATACATATTAAGTGTGAAATAGTATTATATATTATAAATAAACATTTTGTAGATATAATCTATAATATGTATACTATTTTTAATTGTTTTAGATAGATAGATAGATAGATAGATAGATAGATAGATAGATAGATAGATAGATAGATAGATAGAATTCAGTATACTGATCTGAATAATCTAAAAGAATAAATATAATATAAACACTAATAATCAATATGTTAATCTCAGGCTTTTGGACAAAGTCTGGAGTGAATCTGATGAAACCAGCAAGTAAGCAAAGATGGGAAAACCCTGGCAGATGAATTGTTGCAGAAAGTATGCGTGTTATTAATAGCAGCATGTTGCACAGTTGCAGCCATGGGGGTGTTTTCATTTCGATGGTGACTTTGATTTGTTGTGCTTCAGTTATGACATTCAATCGCTGTCCAAAATAGCAATGACAACACTTGTATACACACAAACGTTCATTATGTCCTCTATGATGAAATCCAAAAAATGTACAGAAGCTGTTGACAGACTGATGCCGTCCCAAACAGCAAATTAGATGAGAGTTCGACCTATTGCTATTTTTCACAAACCTCAATTCTCTAACTCGAGACGGGTGTATTTATAACTTTGATTATGCCTGAGAGATTCAGGGTGACCTTAGCCCTGTTATTATTGGCGATGGAGGCAGCTGGGAGATATAAATGAGAGTTTGTCTTATATTTACACTGAGAATATGCACCTCGCTCCTGAAGAGCTCCCCGGGCGCTTTACGCAGCTGCTCCTTGCTGAAATTGAGTGGTATTTATAGCAGGTGACACACGTGTGCTCAGGAGACTCCAGAAACACTCACACTTCATCCACCAATCTGATCAAGGCTGTTTAACATCACAGCTATCGGTTTTGTTACACGCATGTCTCCTGGGAAATTTAAATGGCCGAATGCGGTGAATGAGCACCGGTTACTCACCGCTCCTGTGAAAACTAATTCCTCAGAATCTCGGGGTACGTTCAGCTGAGGTGGGCAAGCATCAGTGGCACTTCCTTTATATATTTAGTAATGTATACACGGATACACACTCAAATACTGGCACATTCTTTGTTGGCATAACAGTACGGCTAACCTGGGATCACAAAAACCGGCTCATGCCAACCATGCATATTATTGGGTGCAAGCATATTTCACAAAATTAAACGTAAAAAAATCACAAAAATTAACTATTTATCTATAAAAATAATCTATGGTTTATATACTTTTATTCTTAATATTTTTAGTTTTCGTTTAAATTTTGGTTGAAATTTTAGTTATATGATTTTGTCAGTTCTTTTAAAATATTTTTTATTTACTTTTATTTCAGTTAGTAATTGTAATATTTTTATTTGAACTTATTTCAGTTACATGCCAAGGCTACACTTCTCATTTGTTTAGTTTACGTTTTTCATCTAATATTTATATTTCATTTTTTCATGCTTTATTTTAAATATAAATATCTTTAATAGTTTAACCCCTTAACTGTCACTCACATTTTTGAACATAGACATGAAAGTGCACGATCCAAACTTAAATGTTTATAATTCATGAACAAAAACATTTTGTAACATATTGATGTACCATTTTCATGGTAATGCAATGTTTGATTTTAAAATGGGTTTCAAAGGCTGAATTTTGAGATTTAAGTTAACTGTAAGAAAACTGACCTGCACTAGTGGAACTGCCACTAAATAACAGGAATCCTGTTGTCCTTTATTTTATTTATTTATTATTCCACATTTACAAAAACGTTTAATTTATTTTTAATTAGTAGTTTTAATATTTTAACTTGAACTTATTTCAGTTAGCCAAGGTAACATTTCTATTTTTCGTTTAGGAT